GGGGGGGCCCGGGCACTGTCACAACACCTCAGCCGCTTGCTACCACCTTCTGGTGGATCAAGGTAGAAGCTATAATCAGCCTGGCGTCCCTCCCACTTGCCAGGTGGACCCGCGGGAGGCTGCCCCCAGGGAGCCAGCAAGCCATTGGCCCCTCACCCTTCCCTCCATGAAGGAAGCACCAGGCAAGCTGGTCGCCACCCTTCCTCTTCCAGCCTCCTCTCTGGCCTTCTATTTTTTAATTTGCATACAGTGAGATGAACCTTCTTTGGGGTCTGTAGTTATATGAATCTTAGCACATGTATAGATCCAGGCAACCACCGCCTCCAAATCAGGACCCAGGGCAGCTGCATCACCAGTCAGACCCTCCCCTCACCCCTAACCCCAGGCAACCACCGATCTGTTGTCTGTCACTATAGTTTTGTTTCTGTTTTTTCAAATGTGTTACATAAATGGAATCATGTAGTATATAACCGTGGACACCGGCTTCTTTCATTCAGCATCATGCTTTTGAGACTCATCCAGGCTGCTGTGTATATGGACGTTCCCTTCCTCTCGGCAGGAGAGTGGGAATCAATGTACCAGTACCTGGCGTCAACATACCAGTTCGTTTACCCTGTCACTCACTGAAGGACATCTGAGTTTCAGAGTTTGACAATTATGAATAGAGCTGCTATAAACATTCATGTGCAGGTTTTGGTGTGACCACGAGTTTTCATTTCTCGAAGGTAAATACCTGGGTGTGGAATTATATTGAGTTATATGGTAAATCTACGTTTAACTCTAGAAGAAAGTGCCAGACCGCATTCCAGAGCAGTGAACCATTTCCGTTTCCCCACAATGCATGAGTGTTCCCATTCCCCCCCATCCTGGTCAGCACCAGGTATGCTCAGACTTGACTTAACCCTTCATATAGGTCTCCATAGTGTTTTAACTCTTCTCACCCAGGCCGGGCAGGCTGCCTGACCCAGTCCTGCTGTGTCCCTTACTGCCTATGTTTAGTGGACAAGTCACACTGCGCTGAGCCTCGGTTTCCCCCATCTGTGAAATGGAGCTGTAATTCCCAGCTCCTCGAGACCCAGGGACTGCATTTAGTGAGGATGTGCTGTGAGCCATGTAGGGGTGGTGGGACTGGGTCCCTGCCCCTAAGTAGCTTGCAGCCTGAGTGGGGACAGGGATGCTGATCTGTCAGGCACGAATCGGGGCAAGTTTCTTCTCTGAGCCCGTCTTCTCATCTGTGAAATGGAAACAACAATCCTTACATCTTCCCTAGGCCTGGTCAAAGCAGAAACAAAATGATGGACAGAAAGTATCTTATAAAGTGCCAGCTAACTGCTAAAGCCAGAAGAGCTTAGCTGCAGAAGCCATACTCTCTGAGTTCAAATCCCAGGGCTACCACTTCTTAGCTGTGTGCCTGTGGGCAGGTCACTTACACTCTCTGTGCCTCAGTCACCCCATCCATAGTTGGGGAAGCAAAGGGTCTTCCCTCACAGGGATGCTGTGAGAATATTAGATGTGACCTCCGTGAAGGGCGTAGGGTAGTGCCTGGCCTGTACCAAGTGCTTGGTTGAGATGGGCACTTAGACACAGACACCGCCTCCTCCCCACGTCCCCCATGTAGCAGGGGCTCTGGGGTGGAGGCCAGGGAGTATCAGGAAAGGGGCCCAACTAGCATTTCCTAATGTCTCCACCCCTTGGGCAGAGCCCCCAGACCTCAGTCCCACGGCGTAAGGCTGACACTCGGGCCATAGCACCCCAGGCCTGGGCTGTGTCGGCGGCCCCTGCTCAGAGGGTCGGCTGCCTTCCTCTGCCCGATGGTCCCTCCCCACCAACACAGACACAGGGCTCCCCTCGGCACCACAGGCCCAGGGCTGGTACAGGAGCGGGGCTACAGGGTCCTGGGCACCATTTGACGTCTGGTATCACTCCGGCACAGCCATCAGTTACCTGGGCTGGTAGGACCCACTGTGGCCGTACACAGAGCCCAGAGCCCAGCAGCAAGCTCACCACCAAGAAAGGGCCCTACAGCCTCCCAGGGAAAGTGGGATCTTAAACGTCATCTCCAGGGAGCAGGGTCCCCAGCACCTGGCCCGACAGAGTTAAGTGCTCTGAGCCCTGAGTCCTATTACTCCTTCATCCGCAGGACTGGACCCCACCTGGAGAGGGCAGGCGGGCAGCTGCCACACTCACATACACACACACACGCACGTGTGCGCACAGCAGCCCCTAAGCACCCCACCGCCGAGACACACCACACACCCCCTCTGATCTGCCCATGAACTTTCCTCCCTTTCAAGGTCACTCCAGGTAGGACTGGCCCCATTTTAACCTAAGAGAGGACAGAGGACAGCTCCCCCACTCCCTCCTTGTACCCCAGCTGAACACTGGCTTTGGGACAGCCAGACCAGTGTTCAAATCCTGGTTCTGTAGGACACCGCAGCTCTCCCAGCCTCAGTTGCTGCCCCAGTGCAATGGGGCGAGGAGAAGGCCCACTCTGCAGAAGGGCCAGAGGAGAGATAACAGGCGATACCTTGTGGCAAAGTGCCCTGCCCGGACCCAGGCAGGGCCCGTCTCCTCCTCCTTCCCTCTCCTCACTCAGCCGTGCACAGTGGAAAAAGCCTGCCTGTCACAGCCGTCGTGCTTCCTTTCCCAGGCCCCTATGCCTCCTGAAGGGCCCCCAGGGCTCCCTGGGTGCCAGGCTGGTGCCAGGCTGCCCAAGGCTAGGGGAAGGGCTGGGAGGAGGGCTGCCCTTGCTCCTAGATGCTCACTTGGGAGGCCCTGCCAGGTAAGGAGAAGGGAGAATGTGGCTTGCAGCCCCCAGACCCCGTGTTCATGATCCTCTGCATTCTGCCCCCGGCCAGCCTCTGGGACCTCAATTCCCAATAAACTGGGAAATCACTGTCCT